TATAAGAGATTTAAAAAAAAAGTGGAACTTATAAGCAGTTTGTTGTGGTAATATACAAAACACAAAATTCACCTTCAAACATCTGGCAAGTGTATACTTAAATGGCATTTAGTACATTCATGTTTTGAAACCATTAACACTATTCATCTGTAGAAATTTTCTTCATTCCTGAAACTGAAAATCTGAGATAACAAAAGGTAATCCCCCATTCCCACCTCCTACTAATTTTTGATATCTCAGTTAACTGGATTCATGTGTTACTTGTCCTTTTATGTTTGGCTTGTCAGCATGACTTCAAGGTTTATCAACATTGTAGTATCCATTAAAGTTTCATGCTCTATTTGGGCTCAAGTTTTTATTTTTGTTTTAAAATAAGGTCTCACCAAGTATCCAGGCCAGCCCTGAACTATGTATTCCAGGATGGTCTCAAAAATCATGGCAATCCTCAGTGCTAGGTCACAGGCACGCACCAATATGCCTATCATTCCTTTTTTTTTTTTATTTTATTCTAGGGAAGGGTCTATAGGGTGTTCAGGGTCTCACTACTAGATCGGACTCATAGTAATCTGCCTGTTTATAGCCTCCATGCCACCACACCCAGTCTCATCGCACCCTGAGGGGCAGGGCAGGCTCAACCCGAGCCTGCTTTCAGGGGCTTTAATCCACTAAGCTATTCTGCCAGCCTTCATCATTCCTTTTTAAAGCTGTGTGACATTATAATTTTTTTTTTTTTTTTTCCAGAACCGGGAATTGAACTCAGGACCTTGCATTTGCTCATCTCCCTGGCCCTGTAAATTTATTCACTTGTCTGTTAGTGGATATCTGGCTACTGTAAACAATGATGGGAAGGGCTGGGGAGATAGCTCAGTGCATAAGCACCTGCCTGACAGGTGTACATACCTAAGTTTGATCCCCAGTACCGCAAAACACACAAACTAACAAATAAATAAATAAATGGATGATGGGACTGGGGAGATAGCTCAGTGGAATAAGCGCTTGCCTGGAAAGCTCAAGGTCCTTAGTTCAATCCCTAGTACTATAAATAAATAAATAAATAAAATGCTGTGGAACACAATGTAACAGTACAAGGACCTTAGTCCCTAATTTCAATTCCTTTAGGTATCTTTATCTAGCAATAGTACTGTTGGCTATGGGTATTTTAAAAAGTAGAATATGCCATGACTTTGATGTTCAAAAAAAGAAAGAAACCTCACAATATCCTATTTATTTATATTTTAATTTTTTTCCAGTACCAGGGATTGAACTTGGGACCTTGCACTTGCCAGGCAGGTGCTTATGCTACCAAGCTTTCTCCCCAGCCCAAAATAACCAATTAAAAAAAAAAAAAAAAAAAAGCCTGTGATCCCTAGTACTTGGGGAGAGGTCAAGGTGAAGGTAGAAATATTGCTGATTAGAAGGACAGCCTAACAACTTTTTTTTTTTTTTTAGCCTAACAATTTAATAAGGCCCTGTGTAACTCAGGAACAGAAAAAGGAGCTCAGTGGTAGAGCACTGATCTAGCACATGTAAAATACTGGGTACAAGTCCCAAACCCCACTACCAAAGAGGTGCCTCCACCAAAGCAAAACCAAACCAAAACACAAACAAAAACTGGTCAAGTCAGGGGATGGCACAGGGACTGGGTTAGATCCCCACCTGCCATGTAGGTACGGCCCCGCCCCTGGGGCACACTGAGACAGCAACTGAGACTGGGCGTGGTGGCATAAGCCTGTAATCCCAGCTCTTGGGAGACTATAAACAGGCAGATCGCTGAGTCTGATTTAGTAGTGAGACCCTGAACACCCTGTAGGCCCTTCCCTAAAATACCATAAACAGGTAAATGGGGGAAGAAAAGCACAGCTACATAGACAGATCCTGCCTAATTTTAACCTTATTCATAGAAAAGACAAAGGAGTCAGTTTCCATGTTAACATTTGATTTCATTTTATCTCCAACTAATTACATACTGTATGCCACCATAAAGATGTGGTTCAAAGTTCAGAGCCTCAATCATTCATGGATTTTTTTCCTTACACTCTAATAATTACTTTCACAAACCGCAGATACCCCTGCAACTGCTGTGGGGGCAGTTTGGGTGGGAGGGTTGCAAGTAGCCAGTCCAGTTCATCCTTGCTGATTAGCTATTCCCTTGAAAGCCATCTCTTATGCACCAGCATTCCTGTATCACAACAGGTTCCTTCTTCTTAAAGCCCTATGAGCATGCCAAACTGCCCTGCACCTTCTAAGGCTTTATTAATATTGTATTTTATTAAACATTAAACATAACTCTAGGAGACAAGATTTACTTAGGGTTTAAACTATAAAAATAGGCATTTGGGGGCCAGGGAGATGGCTCAGTAGAATAAGCGCTTCCCTGGCCAGCGTAAGGGCCTGTGCTCAATCCCCGTTTGGGGGGGGGGGGGAGGCATTTTAGGCATTTTCTGACCACCCCTGATTCAGTGAATGCTTTAGGAACTGCGAACGTTGGGGGTTCACTATAATAGGTCATCTGCCCTTTTGTACTCTGCTTTTCCAATTAATCCGCCCTACTTAATAAAAGGGCCAGCTTAATGTTGGTGAACCTTAAGGCACATGTGCGGCAGTAGACTGTGCGTTACCACTGACAGCTCTACAAGGTTAGCTATTACTCATCTGGCTCACATCCTTTCTCTTTCAACATTTCAATAGTAAGGAGAAAAACCCGAAGAGAAGAGCAGATAAAGAGAATAAACCTGGCCATGGGCTATACTTACAAATTGCCTGAACAATCATTGTATCCACTTTATCAGCGCTAAATTTCAATCTGTATCGAGACAGGCTGGGAGAATGAGGAAAACCAAATTAATAAGATAGCATCTAGAAAATATATCCAAATTCACATTTTAAAAAATGTTATTTTAAAAGGGAAAAACCCACAAAAATTCAAAATAGCAAGTAACAATGGTTAGTAAAGTGCTATCTTAAACTTTTTTGAGTCATGTATAGTGGCACATGCCTATAATCCTAGTACCTAGAAGGCCAAGGCAGGACTACAGGCAGCCCGCCCTATAGAGCTAGATCCTGTATTAACTTCTAACCCAACTTCCTCTTACAGTTACTTTCTCAGTTTTTCTAAGAAAAATTAGTTATACACAAATGTACTATGCAAGATTACAAAGTATATTTAATAAAAATATGCTCATCCTGTTGCAACTTCACTTAATATTCCTATAACATGCATAAGCTTGTATATGAATGACAGAATAACACGATACAGAGCAAAGTCCTATTGGCCATGCAATTTTTCTGCAGACATTAAAGCTTTGTATTACCCAAAGAAAGAAATGTAGCAGCACTCCAACATCTGAAAAACAGAAAGCTATCTAACATTACATGCAAAGGTTTTCTTAATCTTGGCTCAATAATAGCACTCTGGCCTCAGAATTCTTTATTTAGGGGACTGTCCTGAGTACCACAGCACATTTTCAGTATCTGACGTTTATGAATGAAATACTGGGACAGATGTTACTCCACACTACTGGTAATTAAAAATATCTGTGACATCGTCCAGTACTGTCCTACATAGAAATAATGTTACACAGTGTTAACACTTGGTTCTTAATTCAGTGTAACTATTTGTTCTATCTTAAAAATTCTTGTTTCATGCTGGGTGTGGTGACATAGACCTGTAACCCTAGCACTTGGGAAGCTGAGGCAGGAGGATTGCTGGCTGGGGTGGGGGGGGGAGTCCTGGTTACAAAATTGCATATGTTTTAAGAACAGTGGTACCTGGATTCACAGATGCTTCTGTTTGCAAGCAATTCCGTTTACAAATAAAAGTGCCTGGCAAAATTTTGCTTCTGTTTCAGACCAGAATTGTGGAAAGAAGTTCATGAACTGGCGCCACTGTATTCTACCCACAATTCTTTACTTTCTTCATAATTTTTAATGTAATTTCATAGAAGATTAAGTTTTTGATGATTGTAGTATGGCAGTTAATATGTGCTAAGGGTCATCTGGTTAAACATGGGAGGGGTACAGTGTTTCTCTTTGCCTGAGCCTACAAGTCCATTTATTATAAAGGAGAACCAAGTAGTGATAGAAAAGGGAAGGATACTTTACTAGGTAAGAGAATTTTGGAAAATGCTAAGTGGGTGGAGCAGTAGCGGACTTAGCAGAAACAGAAAAGGGGGGAGCCATTGGTAGTAGTGCAGAGTGTTCCCATGATCAAGTTTGAAAAGTGGTAGCCATGCCTATAATCCCATCCCTCAGGAGGCTGACATAAGAGAATCAGGATCATCAAAAGTTTGAGGCTAGCTTGAGCTACATAATCAGGCCCTGTCTCAAAAAAATACGTGAGTCCAAACAATTGAGCCAGACTGTGCATACAAATCCTGCCTTTATCATTCACAGGTATAATGATCTCGGCATCAATTTCCTTTTGAAGACAACATTAGCATCTTTCTCCTAAGGTTGTTAAGAAGTTAAATTAACCACTTAGCAGTTTTCCCTGAGCATCGCTCAGTCCGTGCATTTGTTTAACGTAATGACTTCCAAGTGTCATTTCTACCAGTCATTTCTTACAATGGTTAAATATTTCCTGTCACCTTATAAAAAATAACAAAAAATATGCAAGTCCTGGTGGTCCTGTACTTAAAAAATTGAACTGGTAAGTGCTAAACTAGTACTTTTAACATTTTTGGAATAGGGCTTACTGAATATAACCTATTTTCTTTTCTTTTTAAAATTTGTTTATTTATTTATTTTTGTGTGTGGCCAGCTCAGCCCACCGGGGGGCGGGGCTGGCTGGCTTGTGGTGCTGGGGGATCGAACCGCGGTCCCTGTGCTTTGCCAAGCTTGTTCTAAGTAGGTGCTTTAGACCACTGAGCCATCTCGCCAGCCCACCTATTTTCTAATAATTCCTACCTGTGAGCCAATCCAAGACACATGGCTGCCATTTCCCGTGGTTCTACCCCAGGAATCAATCCATCCATCTGTGATCGGATTCCCCTCATAAGCTCATTAACAACAGGACTATGAATACAACTGAGATTCAGCTTCTCCTGCAAAAAGTCCATTTTGTTTCAAATAAAGAAAAAAGTTAGCCTCAAATTATTTTACATGTTAAAAATGGCATGGTTTGTATATATGCATTCCTCACTTTGACAAAGTATAAATTTCTGCTTTGCTTATGGAAGAATATTCAAGTAAACTGGAACCCAGTGAACTTTCTGGAAAATAACTTCCATATGAAGCAAAAGCTTCAAATGGTTAATACAATCTGATATTAGAATATATTTACAAGATTTTAATACTGAATGAAATGTCAAAATTCCAAGCTTAGGCCCTCTTTACATTTACTTGTTAGAGAGTCTCACTAAACAGCTCAGACTCATAGTGATCCTCCTGTCTCAGCCTCTCCATTGCTGGGATTACAGGCATGTGCCACCACATCCAGTTTCAGCTATCAATGCATGTGGTACCGGGGATCAAACCTGGGCCCTTGTACTTGCCACGCAGGCACTTAGACCACCCAAGCTATCTCCCCAACTGTTGTTACTTTTAAATAATAGCATCCCTTAAAAACACTTTCCAATATACAATGACCATGAATGTCTTAAGTATAAACATAAGTATTCATTTATTCATGGTACTGGCAGGTGCTTACACGGTAGCAAGTTTTCTCCACACTTTTCCACTGTGCTGTTTGCTAATTCGGCAGACAGATCTACATCGTTCTAGTTAATCTCACACAATAGGCACACAAGTGTTATGTATTGCACCATGTCCACGAAAAAATATTTAGCATGTTATATAGTACAAAAAATTTTTGGAGAAACTAAAAACAAATTTAAGATACCCATAATCCTGCCAATTCAGCACCATACCCTTCTGTAAATCTTTTTAGTATCCTTGTATCACATGTACTACTGTTTACTAAACTACATTTTTTTTAGGTGTTCATTCTCTTGAGCTTAACATCTACATGCAGAACTCAGAATTGTGATACTTCAGTCTTTGGATAATGAAAATGCTACTTAACTCCCTTCATGTGCTAAACTTTAGTTTTTAATAGAAAAACATGAAGAGTTCTGGTCACACCAAAGAACATAACAGATTATAATCATAGGAAACGTCATTGACAGTATTAGAAGCAATTTATGTAAATGATTTTTTTTTTTGAAGTCTTGGTATATATAGCTCAGCCTGGCCTCAAATGTGTCATGATCTTTCTGTCTATATGCCACCAGGCCCAGCTGTAAATGAATGTCTTAAATTAACAATTCCAATTTATTAATTAAAATCACTTAATTAAATCACATCAGCACAGTGCCGCCATTTCTCATGGTTCTTTCCTAAAGATGCCCACAACATAACATACTCCTTATATCACTAGATATGTTTCGATCACAATTAACCATCACAAAAATAAGCATATTCAGTATCATTTAAATTGTTCTTAAGACTATTCTGCTTTTCGAGTTCAGCAGGTTTTCCAGTCTATCTACTCACTCTGTTCCATCTCTAGCAAATATACTTCCTCTAAAACATTGCTAGTAAATATTTCTTTTTTTGTATTTTAGGGAAGGGTCTACAGGGTGTTCAGGGTCTTACTACTAGATTGGACTTATAGTGATCCTCTGTTTATAGCCTTCCAAGAGCTGGGATCACAGGCTTGTGCCACCATGCCTAGTCTCAGTTGTTGTTTTAGCGTGCCCCGGGGGCGAGGCCAGCATGGCAGGCCTGAGAACTGAATCCCCAGCCCCTGGGCCTGCTTGCAGGCACTTTAATCCACTGAGCTATTTGGACTCTGCTAATCTTGGTGTAAACTGATTATCATGTAAACTAGATAAAGAGTATGAAGTTTGAGGTTTTATGATTAACTTCTTACAAAAGATTATAGTTATCTTCCATTTGTTCCTTTTAGTTTATTTATAAAGGCTTTCTAATTAGTGTGCTATATGTAAGATTGGTCCACCAGCCACAAAAATGACCTCTTTCATTCATTCATTTTGATAGTGCTGGGATCAATTGCTAGGCCTTGTGCTTGCCAACCACACACTCTACCCCCAAGCTAACTATACCCAAACAGTCTGTGACCTTACCTTTATGACTCCTCCTAGTTTGGCATCAGCTACAGCTAGAGGTTCATGGGCTTCTTTTACTATTTTCTTCAGAACTTTCTTCAGCTGCTTATTGATTTTGCCTTCCATCAGAGCTGTGAATGCTTTCCAGGAAAAATATTTAGCTTAGATTTTTTAATCATGAAGCTTATCTTAAAGCAAATCAAATACATCCTTTCAAGCCTGAATTTAAATGTTATTTTTAAAATTAAATGACCCATGTACTTATTCTTCTTACATATTTCATCTTCCTACCATCATTTCTGCTCACTACACCAGATTCAGTGTTCTTTTCTCTACACCATACAAACTTCAAGAACTCAGGGAATTATAAAATGGCACAAATAACCTATTTGGAGGAAAATATTCACTCTCTTCTATTTTCAGTACATTATATCCTGATGTCCTAGAGTGCAAAATATCCCACAAGTACGTCAATACTGATAAGAAGGAATGCATTCATTTTGAAGATTCTATCACAGTGTAAGAAAATTTGAGTAGAGGGAGGCCTACTTTCCTTAATTCCCAAACGGATCATCAGGCCTCTGAAACCCTCACCTCTCAGGGCAAACTATTTTGAACTATTCCAAGATTGCTCTCCTTTTCTTTTGTTTGTTTTTTTGAGACAGGGTCTCCCTATGCAGTTCAGGTTGGCCTTGAGCTCACTTTGTAGCCCAGGCTGGTCTCAAACTTACAACTGATCCTTCCACCTCAGTCTCCAGAACACTGGGGTTACAGGTGTGCACCACCACATCTGACTGCTCTCTCTTTTGGCAGGCTGTAAATCTGCTGCTTTATAACTGACTCCCCAGTCCTTTGACAGTACTTCCATCCCCAACACCCACGTGGAGTAAGCCTCATTCAACATTTGTGGAGTAAGCTGGGCAGTCTGTCTGACAGAAGGGTCCATTTGTTTGCTTTAGCAGCCAGGTACTGGCACTTCCCTCCCAATCCTATGTTTACCCAGTTGGATACATACCCATTCCATCTGGTGTATGGGAAAATTAAAGGTCAGGACAAAAAAATAGCTGGCTCTCACATACTATATGCCAGGACACAAGTTACTTTCATTGATTCTAACCTCTAACATTTTGTGCACGGATTCCATATGATCCACCTTTCTAGTAAGAGTGTTGTGTTCTTTTATTCTTTTAAATTCTTTGGGCTGGAAACATAGCTCAGGTGTGAAGTGCTAGCTTAGCTTGGGCAAGCCTACAGGTTTGATCTGCAGCACAACCCTTTCTTACTTGTACCTGGGACTGAACTCGGGACCTTGTGCTTGCCAAGCAGGCACTTATGCCACTAAGCTTTCCCATGCACCTTAATTGAAAACTTTTTTTTTTGGTGGTACCAGGGATTGAACTCAAGACCCTGCGCTTGCCAGACAAGCACTTATTCTAGTGAGCTATTCCCTGATCCTTAAAAACTTTCAATAAGTAAAAATCTCAAGCTTTGTGGACCTGCTTCTTTTTTTTTTTTGGAAACATATTGGCACATTTATAGTCACTCAATTTTGGTCCTGTCAATTCAAAAATGCCCTCCAAAGGGCCAGCATGATAACTTAGCACACCAACTACCTACTTAGGCAAGCACAAGGACCAGGGTTTGATCCTCAGCACCAAATGCCACACCAGCCACGCCCCTGGGCACTCCAAGTCAGCCACCAGACTGAGTATGGTGGCACACATCTGTAATCCCAGTGCTGGGGAGGCTGATAACAGAAGGATCACTATAAGTCCAAGTTGCATAGTAAGACCCTGTACCAAATACATAAAATTTAAAAAAAAATTTTCTTAAAATTTAAAAAAAGTCCTGCAACCATCAGAGAGGTTAATTCTAAGGAAAGGACTTACTCAATAAAGCGATGTTGATCCTTATGGCAAAAGAAAATAGCAGCAGGCACCATACAGGTGATGAGGACTGGATTCTTTGTTTTTTGAGACAAGGTCTTGCTATGGTAGTTCAGGCTGAACCTGAACTCACTGTGTAGCCTACCTAGGCTGGCCTCAAATTTTCAGTGATTCTCCTGCCTCAGCATCTTGAGTGTTGGGATTACAGGGGTACACCACCATACCCAGCATTCCTGGACTCTTGCCACTTGACAGAGATCACTACAGCAATATTTTCCCCAAAATATTGATTATAAAGCCCCATGGCCAGATTCTTTGTTAGATCGAAGGGTTTGATAACTTAGAATAGTCTCTGCTTTATAGAGAGGTTAGACTAGGGAGATACAACCTTTTTTTTTCATTTTTGGTGATTCTGGGCTTGAACCTGGAGCCCTGCACATGCAAAGCATGCAATCTACTACTGAGGGATACTCCTAGCCTTAGATTTGACTTTCAATCTCACCTATGTGACATTTTGTCCACTTAAAATAAGTGAATTCAGAAATATCTCTCACCTCAAGGTTTATCATATGTAATATAGAGTAAATACTTTAGGACTGTTTCAAGGATTAAAAAGTCATGAGCATAAACTGGAACATCACTCTATGATCAATCTATTAGCTATTAATGGTAAAAACTGGCTTTGTGTTTGGGCAAAGATTAGGCTCATTCTTCCAATACATTAACAGCTGGTGAGAAATGTCTCTCTCACATTAAGGAGGAATACGAGAAAAGAATTCAAAAGCCAGCCTGGACAAAAGCTGTGGTGCCTCATAATTCTAAGAGCAGGTCACAGCACCACATGTGAATAATGCCCCCTAGAGTTACAGAATAGCTAACACAGACTCCTTATGATCTAACAACTCTACCCAGACTGAAAGTGGGAGCAAATAAATCTTTTAAAAAATTCTCCAGGGTAACAGTAATGTATTTGTACAGTATGGCTGAAGAAGTGGATAATTAATGTACTGATGAATAAGTTGGCCCTATTAATATTTTAGCGTATTTATTTGAATTTCCAATTTTCACTGAGAACCTTGTTTTCCCCTGTGGCTGAATAACAGAATTCTCATCCAACTGTAAGCCCCAATTTTCCTTACAGCTTTTCATTTACAGATTATACCACTAAATAGCTGATTTGTGATATCAATTTAATCAACCAAAGCCAGGCATGGTGGCACATGCTTATAATGCCAGCACTTGCTCAGGAGGCTGAGGCAGGAGGATCTCTGCAAGTTCAAGCCCAGACTGTGCTACAAAGTGAGCTCAAGGTCAGCCTGAACTGCATAGCGGGATTCTGTCTCAAACAAACAAAACTACATTTATTCTATTTTGGCTATTGCTTAGCAAGAACTAATTTTAAAAATCAAAACTATAATATTTACTGAAGTTGGGGGCACAGCCTAGCGGCTTAAGCACTTGCCTGGCAAGCGCGAGGTCCTGAGTTCGATCCCCGGTATCGCAAAAAGAAAAAAAAATCCACTTATGTTGCACATAGTTAATAAACATACCTATTTATGTCTGTCTGTCCCACATGATTCCTTGTTAAGGATACATAAGTCATCCTTTCCTCTAAAATTTTAAAAACCAACATTCCCTTTATATAAATTATTTATGGCACTCTAGAGTTTGTACAGGCATAAAAAAATTCTCTCTAGAATTCTGAATAATACTGATCTGCTTTCCTGAGTTAAAAATGCATCCCCCCCAATAAAATAACATAAAAAAATGCATACCCTGGAAGCTTTGTTAGCAATTTTTCAATTGTGAATTCTGGCTCTTTCTCACTTTAGTCTTAGGCTAAATTAGAAAGCTGTGTACTTGACCACATTACCTTGGTCCCTTGTAGAACAGCTTTTACTGAACTGCTTCAGCATTATGCTGCTGGTTTCCACAGGGAGATCAATTTAACCACTTCTCACCTCATCACATGGGGGAAACCAGCCCTATAGTGAAAAAAGCTAACTCAATGTTGTCTCAGTGGTAGTGACGAATTTGAGTTAGATCACTTAAATTCAGTTCTATTAAGGATGCATCATCGACAACATTGAATAAGGTTAACTTAGGAAACCGAAAGAACCTGTTCAATTAGAAATACTTATTTTCAAGATTAAAAAGAAAAGAAAACGCAAACTTCTAGCTTCTGACTTTACCTGCTAATGCTTCTGCTGTATCCTGAAATTTCTCAAAATGTTTTAGCTTTACTCTAGAATTAAAAGAGAAGAAATACATTACAGGGGCACAGTGATTCTGCAAAAGCTATGCACCGAGAAAGTAGCACTGACTGTTTCCAAGGTACACACTGATGAAAGATGCCAGTCTATCTCTGGGAATCAGAGGCAGCATTGATTGTTTTGGCGCACACCTGTAATCCCAGCACTTGAGAGGCTGAGGCAGGTTGGTGGCTTCAGATCTGAGGCTAACCTGACCTACAAAGTTCAAGGCCAGCCTAACCTGCATAGTGAGACCCTGCCTCAAAATGCAAAACATACAACGTATGTAAAGCTAATTCATGGTTGTCTCAGTGGTAGTGACGAATATATGAGTTAGATCACTCAGGTTCAGTTTCAACAGGAATACATCATTGACAACAATGAATCAGATTAGCCCAATAAAGCATATAGCTCTTTTAAAAGGAAAACTAGTTTTCTATCTTCTTGAAGCTGTGTTATCTTAAGCAAGATTTTCTTACCTGGCAAAGAAATACACTGGTCGTCCCTCAAATACACACTTAAAAATACAAAAATTGGAAGGGAAAAAAGTAGTAATACCATCTTACCGCACTATAATCTATACCCCACCCCTACTTCTCCATTGTGAAGTGGCCCTTCTGTTCACATCTCTCAATACCTGGAATCTTTACTACTGTGAATGTTACATTTCTGTATCCGTTTCCCTAAATGTTTGGCATGCCATTTCTTTGGCCATACTCAGATTGAATTTAGGGCCTTGTCTAAGAACACTACTGCTAAACAACCTGCCTGCTCCCAGCCCCAAAGAAACTTTTTAAAAGTTTTTTTGAGACAGGGTCTCCCTATGCAGTTTCCTGGCCTTGCAATCACTCTGGAACATATGCTGACCTCAAACTCTCAGTGATCCTCCTGCCTCAGCCTCCTGAGTAGTGGGATTACAGGTATACATTACCACACCTGGCCAAAGACCTTTTTTAAGGCTTGCTGAACTGTTAAGTCCTGGACTGAGAATATATGTTACCTCAGAGGTATCACACTTGCCTGGGTTCAACATTCAATTGACTATCAAAGTTATACTCTACCTTTTTATCAAAAAATCTTGACCAACTCAGTTATGCCTTTCTAGGTTATCTTATTATACCTGAGGTAGCTAAAAAGTCATAAATTAATATGCTATAAAATAAATTAAATGGGGGCCGGGGAGATGGCTCAGTAGGCTAAGTGCTTGACTGGCAAACTCAAGGATCTGAGTTCAACCCCCAGTTCCACAAATAAATAAATAAATAAATAAAATGTCTCAATGCCAACAGAGAAATTAAAAGTTAAATTATTTAGTAGTGTATGTCTTATATTACCGTTATTATTTTAATTTTTTGAGACAGGGTCTTTTTGGGTTTTTTTCTTCCCAGAACCAGGGATTGAACTAGGTCCTATTCTACTGAGCTATCTTCCCAGCCCCGAGACAGGGTCTTACTATGTAGCCCAGGCTGGCCTGAAACTCACAGTAATCACAAGTACTAGGATTATAGGTATGCACCATCAGGTCTGGCTTACAATTAGCTTTTTTTGGCCATAATTTTATTGATAAATAGCAATGAGACAGTTTCAAATCAAATCAGTAGGACAGTTTCAATAATTAACACACTGCATACATTCTTCTTAGTGGTTAATTGCTGTACAAGATGCGGACTTTGGGCTGGCAAGATGGCTCAGTGGTCTAAAGCACCTACTTGGAAAAAGCTTGGCAAAGCACAGGGACCGTGGTTTGATTCCCCAGCACCACATGCCAGACAGCCCCGCCCCCTGGTGGGCTGAGCTGGCCACACACACAAAATAAATAAATAAATAAATAAATGTTTTTTTAAAAAAGACGCGGACTTGATATCATATTTACAAATACCATTAGAACAAATCATTCTATTCATTAAGAGAATGTAACTATATATCTATCCTAACCACTTTGAATACACAGATACAAAACGGACATTCATCTGTATACCCTTTTTTTTTGTTAAGTTCCGTTATTTGAATATTATAGGTGTGTAAACTCAGCAAAATATTCTAAAAGAGTCTAGTATCCCATAATAGTATTGGGTCCTCCGCTTAACTGGCAATGTCAGAAATTGTTGACCTGAGTCCCCCACAGCTCAACATAATACAATTAGCTTTGATACAAATATATACTTAATCCACAATTATGTTTTTAAACACCCATAAAACATTAATTCTAAGGAGTTGCCCACTCTAATGCACAACTAATGAAAGTCAGTTAATGTTTTAAGACTACTTACATTTTATTTGCTTTCTCTGGAGTTTCAAATTCTTTCCACAAACTATCAACCTCTTGTAGTTTCTTCTCATTTAAAACCTGTAATAAGACATTTAAATAGTTTTGTTCAAATTTTTCCCACTCAGGCATATATGGCTATATTTACATGTCAAATAAAAACTGTTGAAATTTATTTTTCTCACTGAAATAAGGAAATTGTTTTATTCCCCAGCATAAGCTTTTGGTCAAATGAGCAGTTCAGGTTGAGCCTAACTGGGGTCTTTGAGAACTGTCATAATTACTTTTATTTTTTTTTCAAAGTTTTATTGATAAACAGATAGCAACGAGACAGTTTCAAATCAAATCGGAAGTACAGTTTCAACAAATAATACACTGCATATATTCTTCTTAGTGGTTAATTGCTGTACAAGATGCAGACTTGTGATCCTACTTACAAACACCATTATGTCATAATTACTTTTAGGAATGACATGATACACCATCAAAAAAATTTTTGCCTCTATGGATACTAAATCATTTCTAATTTTTTTTCTTTTTAATGCTCCAGAAAACATATTTTTACATATACACACACTGTGTTCCTATAGAACAGTTACGGGAATGGAGTTAATTGATAATGCCAAATAGACAGAACTGTTTGTTAATAGATGTTGACAAATTGCTTTTAAGGGATCCTCTTAGTTTAACTTAAATTGGGACCATTCCCCCCCCAATTCAGTACTGAATTTTTAAAACATTTCATTAGTCCTTCACCAACACTGTGTATAATAAATCATAAACCTAAGTATAGGACTAGGTAAATTCTAAAGCCCATTCTTTCCTTTACATTTAATAACCCTGAAATTGAGACATTTTACTATTTATGACAGGTTAATCTAACAGATAACTGTAAAAGAATGGTGTGTCAAATTTTGTGAAACATAAGCAGATAATGTAATTTTTGAAACACAGCTGATATACTTTTTATTAAAATCAGAGCATACAGTGCATATACATATCAATTTTTACTATTTTTTTAAATAAAAGAAACCTAGTATTTCAAGTTGCATAAAACCATTTAAGAATTTTGAGGGCCGCCCAAATAGCTAAGTGGGGGCTGGGGAGATAGCTCAGTAGAATACCTGCCCGGCAAGTGAAAGGTCCTGAGTTCAATCCCTAGTACCTCCCCCCAAAAAAACCCTGAGGATTAAGGCACCTGCTTAGGCAGCGGCAGGGGCTGGGAGTTCGATTCCTGATGCCAGCCTGCCCTGCCCCCAGGCCATGCAGTGATTGAGATTGGGCATGTGATGACGCATGCCTGTAATCCCAGCGCATGCCTGTAATCCCAGGGTATTGGGCAACTGTAAACAGGAGGATCATGAGTCCAATCAGAGCAGTGAGATCCTGCAGACCCTGCCCTAAATGCAAAAAAATTGTGGATACTGTTAAAATATAGCTTAATGTGATTTATCTTGAAAAGTTGGTGAAAAGTGGAAAATTATAATCACAATTGTGCAGTGCAATGTATAGTACTGGTATTAAAAAAAAAAA